TCACAAGGAATTGATGCAATTATTACAAAATAAGAAAACTGCAAACAAACAACCAAAAACCAATAGAGCCACTACCGCGATTGTTGCCACCGCCACCACATATGTTGTCGCCTCCTTGAAAACAGAGAACATCACCGAGCTTGCAGCCAGTCACCTTACAACTAAATCACCAACCAACAAAACCACAAATCCAAAGCAGATCTAGACACAAATCGACCCCCCACAATTAAAACCCCAAATCCAATAGATGGGGAAGGGGAAAATAAGCGGGGAGGTAAAGAAAAGAGAGAGAGAGAGAGAGAGAGAGAGAGAGAGAGAGAGAGAAGGGAGGCTAGGGTTTTTAGCTTTCTCTTTATGGGTAAATCAACCACCATATCGGTACACATGTTGAATACAAAATACAATGCACAAACAATGATATCGCATATTACATACTTAGCAACCAATGACGCAACATAGCTCCTTACATGCAACTGTATTTGAAAATAAGGCATAAATACGAAGCATCATCCTTCTTTGCTGTCTCAGACGTGCTGGCTGATGTATTTCATGCTATAGGGGGATCCAACCCTGTTTTAGTTTGAAATTATAGCATAATTAGTGTGAAACCCCTATAATTATAAAAAAAAATTAAAAATAAAAACTGTTCAATCCGTAATGTGTAAGTATGATTAATGCAGAAACTTTAGGTCATAGATGGGTTTAATGTACACACCTTGATCAGACCCGTCTCGGTACCACATAGGATAATGTCATTGGCAGTGAGGAGGCTGGTAATTCTGCTTCCAGCTGAAATTCTGCCCACTTTCTGCTGAGTCCCTCTTAACCATATCTGTTTTCACAAAGTGTGTACGCTGAAAATCGCATTTAAAAGATGTTGTTGTTGTTGTGTGCCCCAACAGTGTCATTTACCTGAATGCTGTTTGTTGCTGAGCTGCAGTTGAGATATATGAAGTCTTCAACTATTCCCATTGCCATAACACGTTCTCTTTTGCCGGTTTTTAGCGACATTTGGGGTTTGCTGTGTCTTCTCCATTCCTGCATATATACCCTTTTAATCAGTGAAAGGCTCTCTCTCTCTCACAATGTGAGCTTCTAATTGAAATCCATACCTTCAAATTTGAACCTTCCACAACTGAACTTGCACTGTAAAGCCAATCTTTATATGTGAAAATTGCATTAATGGGCTTCTTTTGCAGCTTCCAAAATTTCGTCGCTGCTTTGATCTCTTGTGCCCGGTTGTTCGTTATTGA